AGGTAATGGAGGTAATGAAGGTAATAGAGATGAATTTTGCATAATCAGACATAATGATAATAATGTTTTATTTGATTTGCTAACACTTTCAGAGACCGGTTGAAAAAAAGTATCAATTTTTTTGATTTCTTTTGCATGTTCTTCTAATTTTATGTTTTTTTGTTTTTGTCTCCATTTTGTAGTTCTTAAATCTCCAGAATATATAGCCCTAATTTTACTTGCAGCTTTTTTATTCTAACTAAGTGCTTTATTGATAAGTTTTTGTTCTATTCTTTTAAATTCTCTTAATTCACCTTCTGTCTATTCTTCATTAGTTTCATTTTTCATCTAATCTGATTCATTTTCTATCCGATCCATTTCATCATCATCTTTTCTTGATTCAATATTCTCTTCTATAATAATATCTTCTTGATCTTGAGATATATAACGTCTTTTTTTTCTAGGTATTTTACTAATCTGTTGTTGTCTTTTTGACTTGCTGGCATAATATAAGTACAATCAGATTTCAAAAAAAAAAAATTTAAAAAAAAAGTTAATTTATTAAATCAAGAAAATATCTGAGTCTAATTAATTATGATAATTTGGGCTGGTATTAAATTGTTATAGTGTTGGCCTAAATTATAAAAAATTTTGACCAATAAATTGCATTCACGTAATATGACTTTGTTTCAAATTTGGGCTGATCATATAAAAATTATATAATTTCAAATGCTTATAATTTTTTATGTAAATCTTTTTTCGAAAAACTGACTGATAATTTAATAGTACTTATCATAAATAATAAAGTTACTGGTTTATTTTTTAAAAATTTTATTTATTTAAAATTTTAAAAGATTTTTAAGTATTATAATTTTATTTTTAAGTTAAGACTTCCAGCATCATATTAAACAAAAAATATTTTTATAATAAAATTTATAATATTTTTAAGTAAAAATCTAAAAAAAAAATTTAAATGAATTAGTAACTTTTTGCATTAATTTAAGATCAAAGTTTTAAATATTTTTTAATAAAAATATTTTCTTTATAAAAGCTAGAATTTTTAATTTTTATTTATTATTATATTATTATTAAATATATAAATTTATATTAAAACATTAATTTATATATTTTAAATATTATTTATTTATAAATTTAAAATTGAAAATTTTGTATATATTTAATATCTTTATTATTAATAATAAAATTTTATTTAAAAACAATAGATTTATTATAAATTTTATAATGTATTTTAACTAAAAATTAAAAAATTGTGTTTTTATTGTAACCCAAATGAACTCCAAGAAATCTGAAATATGACGTATTAAAATGATCTACAAATAATTATCATGTAAACTGATCACAATAATCGGCAAAGGTGATCTGTAAAATTAACCAAATTGGTTAATAAAGAGATGAAGTAATAAGATCATTAGCCTATGATAACATGTGTAACCTTCTAAACTAGAAACTCCAAATAGGAACTTCAAGAAAAAACTAGTCAAAAGGCTAAGTATAAGAATGTAGTAATAGTTTAAGAACAATATAATTAATATAATTATATTCTCTATATCCCTTCACATATATATATTATTGTTAAAGGACTATTGCATAACGATTAGGTAGTTATTACCCAATTATTACAACAATATTATATAGAAAAGATGAGGGAATCATTACATAGTTTTTATGCAATAGATAGCAATTTAGTGTAAAAATTTCATTATAAATAAGCTGAGTTTTTCATCATGTATCGATAGAAATTTAGAAAGCTAATTTTTATAAGATAATAAAACTCTTTGCTAAATTGTCTCGTAACAAACAAAATTGTTTTGTATCAAACCTGCTTTGTATCAACCTTGGTTAAATAATATTGGAATACTTAACATTATTAAATTGCTTTGTATCAAACCTGCTTTATGTTAATCTTGGTTAAGTAATATTGAATTACTTAACATTATCGATTCCAATATATAAAATCTAAGTTAAAATTTATGTGCACAAATTGATTAATTATTATTAAAATAAGAAATCATAACATTTTCTTATGTAAAATTACCTTTTTATATATATAATTTATCTATTCTTAGTAATAATTTGTGCACATTTATATTGTGTAATATGTGCACACAAAAAATTAATGTGCACATGTGCACATTTTGCATATAGATTTTACATACTAATTGACTCACTTTATGACGTTATCAACTTGATTACAAATAAACTTTGTAATGTCAACTGAGAATTTCCTACGGCAAAGAAAATTATTCGTCTTACATGGAGAATTAGAAGTTGTCATATTTGCCAATTCTGAAACTTAATTGTGAAAGAATACTGAAGTCAACAATAGCCTGAATTTAACCAAAGTCTCTCCCAAAACTTAATAAAGATAAAGCTAAATTTTGCTGCTACTCAATTGATTACATGTTTCAGTCTGCCTAATCATTAGTTGAATAACATTATGTAGAATTTTGCATAATAATTAATTAAAAATCATAATTAAATTTGAATGAAAATTATTACCATTTAAGGTATATTTATTTTTAGAAAAATATTTAATTATTTTTACTAATTTAGATTTTAAATTTTATTAAATTTATCTAATTTTTATGTTAAAATCATTAAAAAATAAAGAAAAATTTATTTTTTAATAAATTTTTTCTTTTTCTTATAAAAGTATCTATATGAATTAAAAATATATTACTTATTATCTCTTATATATTTATAATTAAAAAAGTTAATTATTTATAATAACAAATTTAAATCTATTAGTAATTTTAAAATTAATATTAGTTATTAAATCAATTTTTTTTTAATATAATTTAATTTGATCTTATTATAATATTTTAAATTAAAAATATAAGTTTGTCAATAAAAAAGGAAAAAAATTTCCTTTCTTTCTATTAATAAGCTCACACAGTATAGTAAGATTATATTATTTAACTTAAAATATAAGTAATCAAATTTAATTAATGATTTAAGATAGTTGATCTTATAAGAATTTTAGAAAATTAAATTTGGTTTATAAATCAAATATCTACATCTTGATCACCTTGCATATTTTTTTTTTTTTTACAAAGAATAAACCATCGAGTCACATAATTGCATATAAGATTACCTCATATTATATCACTTTATCAGATAAGATCTACCGGTGATCACCAGAACTTAATCACTTTTGTACCACCAAAATTATCAATCATATAAAGGGGAAATCTTTTTTTGATTTATAATCGAAAATTTCTACATTTTTTAACATTTAAAATTAATATAATGGCACAACGAGTTCAACAGATTGCTAGTCATCTCGCAGGAAACAACGTAGCTGTTGCTAGAGTTGGAAAGAAAACCCCGGACGATGTGGTCATAGTTACAGCTGTTCGTACTCCCATGACCAAATCTAAGAAGGGTGGCTTCAAGGATACAGTACCTGAAGACTTACTTGCTGCTGTTTTCAAGGCTATCCTTGAAAAATCAAAAATTGACCCTAATCTTATTCAAGACATTGCTGTTGGTAACGTTCTTCCTCCCGGAGGTGGTGCTACTGTTGCACGTGCAGCCGCTTTATATGCTGGAATTCCTGACACCGCTGCTTTAAATACTATTAACAGGCAATGTTCCTCGGGTTTGCAAGCAGTTGTACAAATTGCTCATGAAATAGCACTTGATCAAATTGAAGTTGGCATAGGTATAATTTTTTTAATTATTCTACTTATAACATTAAATCTCGTTTTATATCCTTATTTATATTTCTTTTATTAATATAATAGGCGCTGGTGTTGAAAGCATGACTTATGGTTATGGCGCTGGGGTTATGCCTGAAAATACCTCAGAAAAAGTTTTCTCAAATCAAGCTGCGGCTGATTGTTTGTTACCTATGGGAATTACTTCCGAAAATGTTGCAAAAGATTTTGGTGTTACTCGCGCTAAGCAAGATGCATTTGCTGCGTCATCTCATAAAAAAGCCGCCGCCGCTCAAGATGCTGGCTTGTTTAAAGAAGAAATTATTCCCGTTATAACGAAATGGACAGATCCAAAAACTGGCGATGAAAAGGAAATAGTAGTATCAGAAGATGATGGTATACGTAGGGGAACTACACCAGAAGGTTTGGCCAAATTAAAGCCTGCTTTCGCGGCTGATGGCACTACCACTGCTGGTACTTCTTCCCAAGTTTCAGATGGTGCCGGAGCTGTTTTATTGATGAAAAGAAAAACCGCCGAAAGATTGGGTTTACCTATTCTCGGTAAATTTGTTCGTGCTGCCGTTGTCGGTGTTCCTCCAAGAGTTATGGGGATTGGACCAGCATATGCTATTCCAATTGTTCTTAAACAAACTGGACTTTCCGTTGATGATATTGATATTTATGAAATTAATGAAGCATTCGCTTCTCAAGCTGTTTATTGCGTTGAAAAATTAGGTATCGATATTAACAAGGTTAATCCAAAGGTATGTTTCAACGTTTCATAATCTTTGAACAAAGCTAAATAACAAATTAAATGATGGTGGCAAATAATAATATATTTTTATTTATTTAATTTTTCTGTACAATGTAGGGAGGAGCCATTGCATTAGGACATCCACTTGGAGCCACAGGTGCTAGACAAATATCAACTTTATTCACTGAATTAAGAAGAACAAACAAGAAAATAGGTCTTACATCTATGTGTATTGGTAGTGGTATGGGTATGGCTGCGGTTTTTGAAGCTGAGTAGTTAAAACAAGGTCGAGAATTATTTAAATAATTATAAATATATAATAAAATGTAAAATATTTCGTTATGTTAGTTAATTTTACTGGATTACCGGAAAAAGATTTTATATATCGAAAGATTTTTTTTTTTTTGTTTTAATGATACAAATACAATAAAGAAAATTAATTATATATATAAAATTATAATATTCTAATCATCTATATTATTATACAATATATAATATAAATTATAATTCCAAGAAATTCTATCATTTAGAATAAAATAAATAAATAAGAATCCACACAAAATCATTTATTTTTATTTTTTATTTTTTCAACATTTTTTAGTTAAAATGGAATTCAAAAAGGTGCCTAATCTGTAACCACCTTTGGCGATTTGTTTATCAACAAAAGGTATAGCAGCTTTATAATAACCTTGTCCTAAATCTAAATTAGGATTTTTATCAATAGATTCCCAAACAAAAGGACAATTGATTTCATTAGTATCAGTAGCCCAACTTAAAGAACATTGTGTGGTAGCATTAGCACGTTTTAATATTGCCGAAGTAAGACGACGACGACGACGTGATGGAGTGTCACATGCTACCCATTCATCTTTTTCGGAAACATATGTACCATTTTGAATTTCATTCGTAAGGAACGCTGTATATTTGTCAAGACTATTGTCGAAATCTTTAAGACGTTTTTGTACCATTTGTGTATCCCAGATAGAATGTAAGCTAAAAGAAGAAAAGGAAAAGATAAGTAAAGTTTTCAAGGGGAAAGGAGTTATATAGTCACGTGAGCCTACTTTGTTTTACGACCATCAAAGGTTACGTCAACATCATTTCCACCTTTAGAACGTCCACAGACATGTAGAGCTAATTAAAAAAAAGAAAGGTAATCAATTAAAGATCAAACAAATTTAATAAAAAGTTTGACATGGGATATTTACGTTGAGTGATGTCCCCAAAAAAATGTGTTAAGAAACGAAGGGCGATATCTCTTGTATCTCTATCGAATCCATTTTCACAGTCCAATTGTGTGGTATAATTGGCGATTGCTATGAAAAACCATTAAATTAGCCATCTTTTAAGTGCAAGTCGAAACCATGCTTTTTTTTTAAAAAAACAAAATGTTACATGTACTGTACACTTACCACCAACAACACAAACGCCATCAGGACAATCCCTTTCTTCATCAACAGAACAACTTTTACCAGGATTATCTTGAGTATCAATAAAATGTAAAGGAGCACTCCAAAAAGCAAAAGGACTACCTTTTTGTTTTTTTATCGTATCAGCCCATAAAGAAGCAGGAGCTAATTGACCACCAAATGATTTGTCTTGAAATAACTCTGCTACCTGACGTTCTACATTTGATTTAAGAATATTTTGTGCGATTTGTCCTACTGCTTTATGTCCATCTGCGCCCCATGCATCTACCAAAGGTGTGAGGGAGGTTAAAAGGACGGTTAATGGAATTGCTAAAAATGATTTCATATTTTTTTTTTTTAGGATGGAGAGAGAATGAAAGGGAAGGGAGGTTGGAATTTCTGATTTCGAATTTTCTTTGCTTTGAGAAAAATATATTTTCAATTCGTTGTATTTATAAATGTTTTCTATTTTTCCTTTCACATCCAAACCTGGTGTTTTTGTAAATCACGTGAGAAATTCGTCCGATTTATTGTGTTCGGCCGTAAAAAAAAATACATATCAGATATTGTTTTTAACCGCCCGAACATCATTTGTTGTTAGCCGAAGTCAAACAACAAAAATTTTTTTTTTTTTGAAACCAATTGTTTTCCAGAAAAGGTTCTTCGCGCGGTGTAATTTTTTTTTTTACTTTGATAATTCCGACTAAATAATGTAATTGCATAAAATATTTGTCATTAAATCCGCATTCGCAAGCTCGTGTAACCACTAACATATGGGTGGTATGCCATTAAAATTGAGGTACAAGACATAGTAAATCATATGATCGCACACCACCCATATAGTCAAAAATGTGGTACGAATTTGGCGAAATTGAAAATGCATAACCCATGAATTTATTTTTATACAAATTATTCCTCAATTTGCTTTTCTCAAAGATCCGTTGTACTGAGTGTACTGAGACAGAAAAAATATGTCAAGAGCAGAAGATTCTCCAGAGAAATCTGGCAGAAGGTCAAAATTTTGTAGGAAGTAAGCCATTGTTGGACATTCTTCAAATTGATCATATAAACTTATATAATGGCAAAATAAAAAATTTCTGCGAATGATCATGAGAAAGGTAGTAGATAGTGCCTAATATAACATGAGAAAATATTTGGAGGAAAAAAAAAGCATAATTATAGATGTCTTTTACCCCCCAGTAATATGTATAACAAGAGCAAAAAAATATTGCTAGATCTTTTTTTTTTAAAATGCAATTTGCCCCACAATGTATCTAAACCAACTTTCTATTATTTTAAGCTTTCTTTCGATATTAGTATCATCATGGATTCTTCTGTATTTCCCACTTCAAGTGGTAATATTTCAGCTTAATGATTTCATAATGAGATGTTTAGTAGTATGATCCAGTATTTCGTTTAGAAAAACCAATAGTTTATTTTACTTACAAAACATTCCATCATTTCAACAGTAACTTTGCGTCCATAGATTTTAAATCGGAAAACTTAGCCTGTCATTTGTTCTATGAAGATTAAATAATTCGAATATACTAATTAAATCACTTATTATTTGACCGGGTTCATTACAAGGGAATTTGAAATACTAAAAGGTTTCGTCCAGTCGTGATTGTCGTGATTTCTTGTCTTGAGTCTTTTGCGCATGCTTTACGAGTTATAATTAGTAAGGACCGGTTATTGTATTTCAAAAGATGTTTTAGTATGTTGAAAATGTATAAAACATTAAACTGAATCTGTATTGGAAGAGCAGAATAACACCAGCTGGCTAGACCGTGAACTAAAGATAGATTTGCACAATTCTGGAAGAAGATTTGTGATAACATTAACTCAGACATCAATTTCAAAGCTATATTCATTGTTTTCTCTCTTTGCCAAACGAAATTTTCGCAGTATTTACAGTCACATTATCAAACTCTCGAATTTCTCTCCCGCTTTGCTGGATGACCGATGTTTTGAACAACGTGTAAGTAAAAAATTGGTGAAATAACTGATTGTGATAACCTCTTCATGATTGGAAAAACATGGTGAGAGAGTATTTTGGTATATATCAAACGCGTATGGGGTGGTTTTCTATGTATGGAACGTATGATTTTTATACCATTTTATTATTGTGGCTACAAAGAAATTTTAAAAATTTATTGAATAAAGGTCGCAGTTTTTTAGGTTAATTGGCTTGTAGTATGACTTTCCAAAGAATAATTATGATAAATTTTAAATGAAATCAACATACTTATTTAAAATCACGACACAGTCCATTTAACATACATAGATAACCATTATAAACATTCAATTGAAAAAATCATAAAAAGAAAAAGAATCCGGATTATATCCTGCTTCAACGACAATAATGAGTGAAGAATCATCCTTACGTATATGTTTCTGCGCAACTTGGAGTCTAATTCGAACATAATGGTATACTCGGATCGCCAGCATTCTGTACCTTATTTGGGAATGACTTGAAGAGATCATCATCAAGGTGACCATTGGTACAGCATACACCATACGAATCTAATGTCTCTTAGACAAGAAAAATCTTCAGAACATAGAATATATGTTAAAATAAAGTATCGTGGGTTGGATCGATCCTGCAGTTCTGTCTATATTCTGAGGACCGATTAATCATAATTTGATAAATCAATTTAAATTTTTAATTTATTAATATGCTAAAATTTAAATGGACGGTTCAAGAACCAGTCTTATGATTCAGTCCAGAACAAAAATAAAATAACTTTTGAACCAAACCTGATTCAAGACCCTTTTAGACGGGTCAGATCCAACCCAAACTTATCAGAAATCTTTGTTAATCAAAAGAAGATAAGCTAAATAATGTTCATTTCTAATTTTCCTCAAAAAAAAAATTTTTTTTTTGATCAAAAATTGTAAGTGCTAAGATTATAGTGTGATTCTTGCCTTAACAGTTTAGATGATCTGATTATAAATTAAAAAATTGAGATACGGATCATATGATTTACTATGTCTTATACCTTAACCCATATATTTAACTTTGATTGGTTTATTACATATATGCACCTCTTCGTCAGTTTACTACTTTACATACCTATTTGGCCAAATAAAGAACAATGATGAATTTTGTTCTGAAACTTTGTCATTGTAGACTAGAATAATCAAATGTTTACAAAAACCCCCTAATCTTTATTTAGAACAATCATGTTTAAAATTAGTATAATTTATTAATATATCAATTGTCGGATTAAAGTATATAAAGAGTTTTTTTTAAGAAATTTTAAAAAAAATAAATAAATAAAATATAAATTTTTTCCCTCCAAAAAAAATAATCAAAGAATGTCAATTTTTTTAACATCGTTATCACGGGACTTTTCCAACATTCTGGGTGATTCAGATGAATATAATGTTTTAATTAAAGTTGGTTCGGACGAAAATAATGAAGAAACTTTTCAAGCTCACTCACTTGTATTAAAAGCAAGGTCTCCTTATTTCAAAGCTGCATTGTCAAATGATTGGGCTAAAAAAGAAGGAAATATGATGATTTTTAATAAACCAAATATTTCTCCTTATATTTTTGAATTGATTCTCAAGTATGTATATTCTTATTGTTGGATAGAAGCAAAAAAAAAATCCGATTTTCCCATCTCTTACATTCCACTTCAATTAATAGGTTTATGTATACAGGAATTATAGAAATGGAACAACAGAAAGGAAAAGATTTATTAAAATTATTGGTAGCAGCCGACGAACTTTTGCTTAATGAACTACATGAAACAATTCAAGATTATTTTCTTATACATAAAACCGATTGGATACAACAAAATTTCGCTCTTGTTCATAAAACGGTATTTCAATTAGAATTATCTAAAGAACTACAAGAATTTTGTTTGATAATAATCTGTGAAGAACCGCAATTAATATTCAAATCAAAGGATTTTACAAATCTTGAAGAAGAAACATTAATCTCATTATTAGGAAGAAGTGATATGAATATGGAAGAAGTTGTTATTTGGGATCATGTATTAGAATGGGGTATAGCTCAAAATCCCGAACTCACAATTGATATTTCAAAATGGAAAAATGAAGATTTTGCTTTACTTAAAGAAACTCTTGAGAATTTAATTCCTTATATAAGATTTTTTATAATGAATTCCGCGGAATTTTATAACAAAGTTCGTCCTTTTAAGAAAATACTTCCAAAAGATTTGTACGAAGATTTAAAAAGATTTCATTTAAAAACCGGATTACAACTTAAATCCGAATATTTACAAACCCAAAGATATGTTGGAGTTAAATCAACCATAATTGATCAAAATCATGCCGCAATGTTATGTTCTTGGATTGATGGTGTTGGTGTAGATTCAACTTCAATTCCAAAAAGTTGTGAATTACCATATGAATTTAAATTACTTTGTAGAGGCAGTCGAGATGGATTTGGTGCGACAACATTTCATGATTTATGTGATAATCAAGGTCCAACTATCGTTTGTCTTAAAGTGAACGATTCAAAACATGTAATCGGAGGTTATAATCCACTTTCTTGGGGGTCCACAAATTCTTGGAGAAGCACACGTGATTCGTTTCTTTTTCAGTTTAACATTTATTACAAGAAAAATTTATCGGCAAAAATTAGTCGCGTATCAAATAATTGTTCTGCTTATGCTATAAGTGATTCTCAATCGAAAGGACCATGTTTTGGAGATGGTGACTTGTGGATGAAGGATCAATTTAATCAAGCTGGAAGTTGTTATTGTAATAAAGAATCTTATGAACAGTCGGTTGGTGATATGTTTCATAGAGATTCTTGGGAAGGATGGACCGGTAAAAATGGTACTTTTGCTGTTGATGATTATGAAGTTTTCCAAGTTATAAGAAAACGAATTATTAATAATTAAATAAGAAGTGTTTTTTTTGAAACTTTGAAATGTAAAAAAAAAAAAAAAAAAAAAAAAAAAAAAAAAAATTAATATAATTTTGGATTGTAAATTTTCATCTTGAAAAAAATTGTATATACTTTAAATAGTGTTGGATTTAATTATTATTCTTTATCAGGACAATGTGTATATTTTATTAAAAAAATAAAGAGAAAAATTATTTATAATTGTTGAGTAAAATTTAAAAAATATTGATATTATTTGTTACGGTGCTCGCGTGACTTATGAGATATTATAACTATGACTTTATCTATAGTGATAAATTATTATTTTTTTCAATAAAAAAAATATATAAAAGAATATTATATTTATCTAATATCACTCAAATTCTATGTTTAAATACTCTTCAATTAGACTATCGTATTTACTATACATGCAAAGCATTTAATTCAATTTTTTTCAATATCTTAAAACAAATTGAGAATCTTATTAGTAACAAAAAATTATTGATTGTAAAAAATAAGTATCTATAGTTAAAAAATATTATTGATTAATTGATTGGCACTTGATTTGGTATGAAATTAAATTAAAATAAAAATATTAAAAAAAGTTTATAAAAAATAATATTTTTTAAATAATTTACCTGAACTGAAAAACAAAGATTGCTTAAATTATTCAACATGGATGTATAATAAAATGTCATTATATCTGAAATATAATCTGCCAATTCTATCAATTATTGAAATATATATATTAAAAACAAAAGTATTTAAAATAATATAAACAATAATAAAAATTAATTACTTACCATGAATAATCATCAATATTGCTATTTTTATTTTTACAGATATAACAACTTATTATTGTTTCTATAAATACCAAAATGTTGTGTAAATGGTTATATATTGAAGATAGCATTGATGCTACTAATAATGATGATAATGATAAAGATGGTTCATATAATTATTTTTAAATTTGCAACTTAATTGTGCCATAAGGAAATTTAATTACATCACAAGTTGCAACTCAATTGTCACATTTTTTTATATAGTGTTCATCTTTAATAATGATGATGATAACATTGATATTAGCATTGCTAATAATAGTATTGCTGCTAACATTAGCACTGCTGCTAAAGGCGATAATGATATTGATAATAGTACTACTACTAATGATGATAATGCCGCTACTACTGATATTTAGTACTGCTGCTTAAGGTAATAACAACATTGATAATAGTGTTGCTACTAATATTAGCAATATTGGTGTTATTACTGATAATGATAATGGCGTTACTATTAACATTTAAAATTTAAATGTGACGTAATATTCTGTAGATTTATGATTTTCATAATATTTCAAGTATTATATTGTAAAACTATACAAGTTTACAAGTTCATAAGATTTATAAAATATTATAGTGAAATCTTATGTAAAGTTACAGTATCATAAGATTTATAAAATATAAAGTGAAATCTTATGTAAGGTTATGAGCTTGTAAAATTATGAAACATTATAGTGAAATTCTATATAAAGTTATAGGATTATACAAAATTTTACGTAAAATTATAATTTCTCATTATAGATTTAAAATTAGTGATACACTATTTAATATGAGCAATGAGTATATATTTTATATCTTTTATTGATTTATATATATTTTAGCTTTTAAGAGATATTAAAAATCAGAAATCCATAGATTTAGCAGATTTATGAAAATTATAATCACAGATTTTTAAAAAAACTGTATTTTATATATTTATCAATTATATTAAATCTTTTTTTAAGATTTATTATACTTTTTTTTGTATTTAAAATATCAAAAAAATGACTCACATTCTTGGCCATTTAACAATAATCATTAAAATTTTTCTGAAAAAATTAAATGATGTATTTTAATATGAAAAAAATTTATAATAAAAAAAATTAGCAGATTTTAAAAATAAAGTAAAAAATTACGTTAAAATAATAATTATCAGAATTACTAAAATATTGCAAATTTTACAAAATATCAATAATTTATAAGAAAAATTTTTAAAAAAAATAATACTATTTTTATTTTTTTTTTTTCCCTTTTTGCATTATCTTTTTAATATAAATCTTACATTTTCTTTCCTTTCACATTTTTTTTTTTCATTTTTTTTCAATATAAACGTTTTGTAAAAAGTATTATATTTATATTATTTAATAGAAAAACTTATCTTAAAATTTTATATAAATATAACTTTGGTTTTAACTATTTCAAAATCAAAAAAATACTTTTATAACAAATCTATTAATTTTTTTAAATTTATAAAAAGTATTATAATTATTTTTAAAATGCTTATTATTAATAAATATTTCTAAATAAAACAATTTGATACTAAATAAAAGATTTTTTTAACAATTTATGATGAATATATTATGACATAAGAATATATAAAAAATGTCATAAATTATATAAATAAATATTAATATAACTGTTTATCTAATTTAATAGCATTAGTTCTCTTTAAGAACTATAATGATTATACTAAAAAATATAAAAATAAAATTTGATTTTTATATTATTATTTGAATAGCAAGGTCTAGTTCATATCAAATATTAGCTGAAGACTCAAACTTTCAAAAATAATTTTTTTATTTATTTTTTATTTTTCTATTTTTCTATTTTTTTTTTTTTTACTATTTAATTGAGTAATAAGATCCAGTTCATAAGTTTCATAATTTAATTTGATATTTGAATATTTGATTTGAAAATCAAATCAAATACAAATACAAATTTATATTTGATTTAATTCGATCAAATTCAAATCAAAGAATAATGTATTTGATCAAATCTAAATTAATCTTTGATTTGATTTGATCAATTTTAAATCAAGTATTCAAATATTGATTTGATTTAAATCAATAGTAAAACTATTTCAAAGTTTTAGATGTGGTATTTACTAAGAAAACTATAGTAAAAAACACCTTTATAACTTTAGAAATACCTTTTTTATTAATAAAAATATAGTAAAAATGTCTTCGTAACTTTAGAGATGTTATTTATTAAGAAAAATATAGCAAAAATGCCTTTGTAACTTTAGAAATGTTATTTACTAAGAAAATATAGTAAAAATGGCTCCATAACTTCAAAGACATTCTTTACTAAGAAACTTAGTAAAAAAATACATCTGTAACTTTGGAAACATTTTTTACTAATAAAATAGTTCTAAAGTCACAGTAGTGGTTATTATTAAGTTTTCTTAGTAAAACTGAAGTTATGATAGCAATTATTACTAAGTTTACTTAATAAAACTAAAGTCACAATAGTGGATATTACTAAATTTTCTTAATAAAACTGAAGTTATAATACAATTATTACTATATTTTCTTAGTAAAACTAAAGCTATGATGGTAGTTATTATTAAGTTTCTTAGTAAAACTGAAGCCTTAATAGCAGTTATTACTAAGTTTTCTTAGTAAAACCAAAGTGTATTAGCAGTTATTACTAAGTTTTCTTAATAAAACTAAAGTTGAAAAGTTGTTTTACTAAGTTTTTCTTAGTAAAAATTTGCTTGTTACTAAACTTACTTTATAAAAGCTATCTTTAAAATTTTTTAGCACATATTACTAATAGATTTCTTAATTAAAATAAAGATATTCTAAAGTTTTAATATATCATTGTAATATTAATTTTGATTTAATCAAATATTTAAATTGATTTGATTTAATTCAACAAATATTTGATTCAATTTGATTTGATTTGATTAAATTCAAATTGATTAAATTTGATTCAATCAAATATTTAAGTTCAATTTAATTCAATTTGAGGAATCTTACCAATTCATATCAAATATCAGCTAAAGATTTAAGTTTTCAAAATTCAATTTTTTTATTTATTTTTATATTTTTTTATATTTTTTATTTTATATAATTAATAGATTAATGAGATCTAATTCATATCAAATATTGGTTGAAGACTCAAGATTATGAAAATACATATACATTTATTATTTTTTTTTTATATTTATTTATTTTATATAACTAATTGAATAGTAAAATTCAGTATATACCAAAAATCGGCTAGAGACTCAAAGTTTTTTAAAAAATTATGTATTATATAGTATTAATAAAAGTTATTACTTCTAAAGTTTTAAATAAAAACAATATATAAAAATCATTTAAATAATTAAGGCAAAATCATGTAAATCTGAAAAGTTTATTTATTCTTCTTAAATATTAAACTGTATATAATGCAAAATATAAAATAAATACTTTATTCATTATGTAATAAAGAACTTTTGCTAAAAACTTAAATTTTACTTTTACACTATTATAGTCTATACTATATATGAAGTCAAAATGTATCATTTTAGATATCCAAAATGATCAAAATGATTAAAATCATTTTTTTTTGATACTTTTACTAGACACGCGTTGATGGTAAAGTTTAGCTGCATATCCTTCAACAGAATAATATGATTTATGATATATAATTATCACTTTAACCCCCCTTTTAGTATATTGTGAATTTGCATTAAACCTAAGTGAATGGGTGTCACTACCTAAGTAGACTGCCAAACCACTAAATTTCATGGTAGAGTACTTTAGTACCTATCATCATTCACATTTATCACAACTACTGGAAAGAGTGTCAAGAATAACTTAAGATGATAGCTTACATCATAGTTGTCTCACTATGTATCAAAATTACCCAAAAAATCAAACTCAGACCTTCAAACCCTAATTGTGATATAGGTATTACAATGGTTAAAGACAGTGCAATATCAACCACCTATAACCTGCGACTATTATTTAACTCAAGTTATATAATGTTTACCATTGATCCTACCCTTACAAATATCTTTTGCAGACAATATGGTATTTATCCATTATAGACCAGCCCCTTGACATAGGTTTCAAACTCAATTGGTTCACTATACTTCAAGTTATTTATCACCATTACCTGTTGTTAAGGTGGTATGTAAACGAAGTGACCTTATATAGCTTATGCCATGAGAGCTACCATCCTTCATATAAACAACTATCAAATGGTC